CCCATTCACGTCTCCTTCTATTTATTTCTTTTTAATTTTTTTTTTAATGTTTATTTTTTTTGAGAGAGAGAGAGAGAGAGAGACAAAGACAGAGTGCGAGCGGGGGAGGGGCAGAGAGAGAGGGAGACACAGAATCCGAAGCAGGTGCCGGGCTCCGAGCTGTCGGCACAGAGTCCGACACGGAGGGCGAACCCACAGACCGTGAGATCATGACCTTCAGGCGGGCGCTTAAGCGACTGAGCCACCCGGGCGCCCCATTCACATCTCCTTTTGAACAATGTCTGTCCCCGGTGGGCCTGCTGGGTTTAGAGTGCATCCGCTTTGCACTACTCTCTCTGCACAGGTTTTATCAGTGCATGCTGTTCAGCACAGCACGAACCCTCCCTTCCCACCGTCACTAAAGTCAGTGCAATCGTCACGAAAACCATCTTCCTGGAGCAGGAATGAGTGAGAAGGCAGTAGGGAGAAACGTGCTCCGGGTTCAGGACTCATACAGGGGGCCACGGAGGGGAAAGGACGCAGAGACCTTTCATGGACGCTGCCGTGGAGAACATTCTCCCTCGTTCCCCGGAGGGCCCCGGTATTCCATGCTCAGAGCCGACAACCACACGTACCCCTGTTGCCAACCGCTAGCTGGGCCGACCCCGGTCCAGCCCGGTCAGTCCCGACTGGAGACCCACTTCTGCCAGGAAGCGTGTGGAGTCAGGTGCACCCCAGACGGAGCCTTTTCGAATCGAGGGCACGGTTTACGCCACGTTACCCCGGGCTCGCTTAAGTGCTGTCTGGAAGGATGAACCGTTTTACATCTTCTTCCTTCTCAGCGATCCCAGAGGTTACCCGAGTGGCCCCCGTGTTTTATTTCTTTGTTTCTGCCTTGCTGGCACTCGATGTAGTTCGTAATGCAATGTAGAATTTAGGGAGATGGCTCGTATACATCTCCAGATTTTAAAAAACCATCATTTTTATTAGAATAGGAGCCTCTGCTTTAAAGAAATAAGTCAAAAATTTTTTTTTTTTAGAAATGTGGCTGACTGCCTTAACTGAGTTTCAAGTATTATTTGATACGTGTATGGCTTTTAAAAGAAGCGTACTGTGAGACACACGGCACAGCAGGCCCAGGGGAATGGGCTATGCTTTATCATGTCTAAAGAGTTTGCTGCACAGAGATGTGACCTCTTTTCCAGCTAGAGAGAACAATTTTCTCTGCAGGAAAAAAGAAAAAAAGAAAAAACACAAAAAACCAAAACCAAAACCAAAAAACGAAACCAAAACATTTCTAAATAAAGCTTTTAAGGATACAGCACCCTCACCTGTAATAACAGATCCATCTGATCCCGGGCCACTTCCTAAATACTGGTATTCTGTAAAGCTGAAGCTTCCGGAACTGTCCTCCCCAATGGATTGAGAAATCTCTTGGATGTTTCCCATTTCTTGCAGGAATTCTTCGGATAATGGGCTCTCCAGATCATCAGCCTCGAGGGGGGACAGGGGGCAAATCGGGCTTTCTGTGTCTACCATCTTGCTTAGATGGTTCTGGAAACGCAACCTAGGAAGACAGAGAAGTAGCTCGTGAACCATGGATATAGAAGAACACTGGTTTTCCTCCGATGAAAGCATCATACCTGAACTTATAACCTAAGGAGTGACGTCGCTAACCACCTTTTCTCAGCATGCCTTTAGATAAGCACGCTAAGGAAATGAAAATCTTTAAACACAAAATGTGTAAGGACACAAAGCCGATCCTGGTAGAATCACTCACCTGTTACTGAGTCTACACGCTGTGCTCAATGCAATCTACTATATCCGAGCTGGACGGAAACAGCAGCGGACAGAGTCCCCGCTTTCCTGAACACCGCGTTTGGTGGGGACACAGACAGTTAACAAATAAACAAATACGCAGGTGGACTGTCTGATCCTGGTCTGACGGCTCATCGGGTGGGGAACGGATGCTGCCTTACACGGGACGCTGCCTTGCAGATTTGGGGATAACAGCGTCTGAGAGGGGGAGGTGTGCGGAGGTCTCGGGGAAGAATGTTCCAGCAAACAAATGGCAAGTGCAAAGGCTCCATGATGGAAGCCTTCCAGGAGCGAGCAGGTCGAGGTGGCTCAGCGGAGGGGTGCAGGGCGAGCGGGGTGGGGGGGGGGACACGCCGTCAGCATGTTCTCCTGGTACCCATGGGCTAATTCATGCAGGTTTTCCTAAAACATGATTGTGCACTTACGGATACATCGTAGAACTAAAAAAAAACCAAACAGGGGGCACCTGGGTGGCGCAGTCGGTTAAGCATTCGACTTCAGCCAGGTCACGATCTTGTGGTCCGTGAGTTCGAGCCCCGCGTCAGGCTCTGGGCTGACGGCTCAGAGCCTGGAGCCTGTTTCCGATTCTGTGTCTCCCTCTCTCTCTGCCCCTCCCCCGTTCATGCTCTGTCTCTCTCTGTCCCAAAAATAAATAAAAAACGTTGAAAAAAAAAAAAAAAAAAACCCAAACAGGTGCGTCCCTGACAAAGCCAGACTGTTTCAGCTGGCAAAAAACCAACAGAACACGCTCCAGGTGGGTGGGTCCTGTTATGAGCTGAACTGTTTCCCCACCAGAATTCATATGTTGGAATCCTAACCCCTGGGACCTCAGGACGTGGCTATATTTGAAGGCAGGGTCTTAAAGAGGTGTTTATGTCAAAAGGAGGTCTTTAAAGGGGGCCCGAATCCAATCAGATTGGCATCCTTCTAAGAAGAGGACACTTGGACACACATGAGACACCCGGGGCGTCCGTGCGCAGAGGGAAGGCAGCCGCCTACAAGCCCGGGGGAGAGGCCTCCGGAGAAGCCAAAGCCGCCAACACCCTGTTTTCGGACTTCCAGGCTCCAGCACGGTGAGAAAGAAACGCCTCCTTAAGCGACCCAGTCTGTGATGCCTCGTTTGGCCTCCCTGGCAAAATCACGGCCACAGAGTCAAAGCAGTGCCATGTCCCATGTCGGTTGGTTTCACACTCCTGCTCAAATGCCCGAAGCCACTTCCTGTGACCTCCGGACTGAAGTCCCCCTCCTCGACACAGCACTCGCGATCTCATGATGCATCTCCTTCCTGATCTCGCCTCTTCGCCGTCTCCCTGTCCCCACCGTGACCCGCGGCACCGGGCCGCCACCTGGTCCACGCCTTCCCCGCACCGCTTCATTTCTGCACCTTCGTCCGAGTCCACCTGAGATCCCGCCCCACGACCACCCCCCGGGCCTGGCGGTCAGGCGTCCTCAATGAGACGGACCAGGCGACGCTTGGCTTCTGGAACCGCTTTCCCAGCTGAAGCGGTCACAGTGAAGCCTACGGCTCCCGGCACAGAGGGGACCCAAGCAGGTGCATGCCAGCAACGGCCAGGGCTCTCCGACGAGGTGAGGACGCTGTTCCCCAGTGAACCCACAACCCACGGTACTCGCTCCCGTGAAACGCTCCCGTGAAAGTCACATCTCACCCTTGGAGTTCTGACAAGCAACCATGATGGTGACAGTCACACACGGGAAAAATCAGAGAGAATCGTTAGCCTTTCACGAGCTTTAAAAGGAAGGGACCTTCCTTCTCTGTAATCTAGGAGTGTGGACGGGGCCGTGAGTCTGTGCGGTTTTTCTACCGTATTTCGCTCCGCATTCTATCTGGAGGAAGATTTCTTCAAACGGCAAGCTAGACGGTGGGGTAAGCATTGCTTACGATGTTCTTCACCATGAAAAACTACAGTCCCTCAGGGGCGCCTGGGTGGCACAGTCGGTTAAGCGTCCGACTTCAGCCAGGTCACGATCTCGCGGTCCGTGAGTTCGAGCCCCGCGTCGGGCTCTGGGATGATGGCTCAGAGCCTGGAGCCTGTTTCCGATTCTGTGTCTCCCTCTCTCTCTGCCCCTCCCCCATTCATGCTCTGTCTCTCTCTGTCCCAAAAATAAATAAACGTTGAAAAAAAAAAAAATTTAAAAAGAAAAACTACAGTCCCTCACTTCAAGGTTTAACCATGAAGTCCAGCCTAATAAGTATGGGCTGGGCAGAGGCTGCGCTGTCATTGGGGCTGTGACCACCCCCCTCCTCGACCCCTTCATATTCCCGGTGCTATAGGGGACAATGCAGGTGGACAGCAGCCTTTTCTGTCTTTCCTGGCAGGAGCGTCGAAACTGGAAGAATCGATCGCGAACTGGAAGATCGTGTTAGTTTCCTTGTCATTACATTCGGGGAGTTTGAATACTGTGGGACCTTATCATTTTACTTTTCAGTTGCTTTTAAGGCATACCTGAGATTTATTTAGGGAAACGTCCGTCTCACTGCTAATGAAGAGCTAACGAGATAAAATCCCTCCAGCGAGTGAGGCAATACCGTCCTGAACTCTGGCCAGGGGACTGGCGTTTGCACAAATCACCGCCCGCCCTTTCTGGCTTCCGGCTCGAGCAGATGAGGCTCAGCTCCTTTGAAGGCGTCCCCAGGTAGAGAGCGCAGCCCCCCTGCCTGGCGGCTCCGGGCTCCAGGGCCTCCCCGCCGCCCCCGGCCCCCATCACTGTGGCTTCTGCTCAAGAAGCAGAAATATCACGGGAAGTCTGGCTCTAAAGCCCACATAGCACAGCCACTGCCCAGTTCCTCGGAGAGCAAACCAGGTGCCAGTTAGCGTATCCTCTGCCCTAAGTGCCTTAGGAGGGGCAGGCGGGCGCAACAAACCATCCGTTTTCTCCGCAGCTCCCAGTGTGGCCGATGAGGCAAGGCAGAAACGACTGGAGAAAAATCAGAGAGCGCCAGCACAACTCCAGTGGGGCTTGGGTTTCCTAGCACAGAGAGGCTTCCGCGGAGGCCGAGAGCCCAGGAAAGGACAGCGGGGCTCCAAGCCCGGCTCCCACCAAGATGCATGTGCCCGGCTGTCCTGGCCCTCCTTCCCTGTCCCCGGGGCCTGCGGGGCTCTAAAGGCATCTGTTCTTTGCCATCCCATTTAAATGTTAGAGCTGTGTCTTGTATATCGGAAACGCCAATGTGAACGGCTAAAATTCAACTTTCAGGTCTCAGGAGCGCATTTACCAATCGGAGTATTCCTTTGGGCAGAGTATACAAAAGTGACAGAACATTAAAAGAAATGATAAGAATGGAAAGAAGGAAGGGAGGGAGGGAGGATGGAAGGGAGGGAGGATGGAAGGGAGGG